AAAATGGCTTGAAGAGGTTTCCATGCTCTAGGGCTACGTCTACACTGGCATGATTTTCCGAAAATGCTTTTAACGGAAAAGTTTTCTGTTAAAAGCATTTTCGGAAAAGCACGTTTAGATTGGCAGGATGCTTTTCCGCAAAAGCACTTTTTGCGGAAAAGCGTCCGTGGCCAATCTGGACACGGTTTTCCGCAAAAGAGCCCCGATCGCCATTTTCACGATCAGGGCTTTTTTGCAGAAAACAGTACTGTGCTGTTTACACTGGCCCTCTTGCGCAAATGATTTGCACAAGAGGGCTTTTGTCCGAATGGGAGCAGCACAGTATTTCCGCAAGAACACTGATGATCTTACATGAGATCGACAATGTTCTTGCGGAAATTCAAACGGCCAGTGTAGACAGCTGGCAAGTTTTTTCCGCAAAATCATCTGATTTTGCGGAAAAACTTGCCAGTCTAGACACAGCCTAAGAGATTCTATAGGACTTTTCCCTAAAATACTTTATTCCTGAATGCACAGAAGAGAATTAAATGCTATTGTTTGATCATGCTCCGAGAGCCCAGGTTTGTTAGAGCAGATCTGTTCTTCAGGGATCAAACTTCCCAAGCTCCCATTCCCTGGACTTCATGGGCTCGGCCAGTTCTTTGGCCTTTACTCTGATTGTGCGAATACTAGAGAGGAGTTGCCTGCTTCCTGGGGCACTGCGGTGCTAAATCTCTGGCTGTGACAGGAGGATTGCCTGGCAAGGCTTTTTAACAGAGAGTTGAGCTGCAGTGTGGAGTAGGGATGTTCAATATCGGTTAATTGAATAGTCGAGTAACTCCAGACATTTTATTGATTAGTCCCTGGGGGTGGGGCCAGCAGCCACTGTATCAGAGGCAGCAGTGCGGGGCGCCAGGTGGGAGCTGGTCCGCGAGGGGAGCCAGTTTAAAAAACAGCTAAAAAATGTACTGCCAGGGTGAGGGGAAGAAGGGAATTTGTGTGGTCTGTAGCATTGACCTATAAGCTTTTGCTTATCAGTTAATCAATTCCACTATTACATTCCTAGTGTGGAGAGCTTTGTGAAGCCACCGCCACCCTGCTTTGAAAACAAACTCCAGCTCTGGCCTGCACATCACTCCCTACCCCACCCCCACTACCCAGGCCCAGCTGGTCCTCTCATTATTCTAACCCAATTCTATCCCACATCCCCCTCCTCGCTCCAGCGCCAGGCATTGGCACAGCTCTGCCAAGACACCCCAGTCTGTGCATCCAGGGCCTTGCTTCTAGTCCCATTCCTTGGCCCTTCCAACGGACGTACCAATACCCTTCAGCCCTTTAGGTAACAACCCCCCTGCAGCCAATCCATTCGTGGTCTCCCATACTCAACCATGAACATACAGGCAGGAGGTGCCATGCCACCCCTCTGTCAACGTAGTCCCAATCCCTGTCCTGGGTTGGCTCTCCTAGGGCACAGTGATACACACAGGAAAAGAGCAGCTCTCCCTCCTTGTCTTGATCTGAGAACGTGGTCTCTGAGTGTTTGCTGAATGGACCCCTCCTTTTGTGGGCATTTCTCCCACTCCCCATGCTGGGGGACTGGGAGCAGCCACCCAAGGATGGGTCCAGAAACTAGTACGTTTGCTACGAATGCTTCGCAAAGAAGGGCCAGAATCACGGTTCATTGTCTGACGCTTGCACAAAGATTGCCAGTAGCCAGCATAGTTTCTTATTTTTAAACCCAGGCTAGAGAGGGTGGAAAGAGGAGGGGAGAGAGTGTAAGTGGCAGGTGACAATGTCCATCACGCTGCCCAGAAATGAAGCTCAGAGACCAAAAATAGAGCGGGTGACCTCATGCTTTGGGCAGCAGTGCCGAAGAGACAAAAGAGAGGCTTTAAAAGGCTTGTGGAGCTGATAGCACAGGGCTTGGACACTTGAGAGTTTTGGTTTTGCTCCAGCAGGGAGCCACTCTGCCTCTCTCCCTATGGAGAGCTGCGAGTTAAATGGACTGTTTGACATGCCCGAGTCTCCGGGCCTGGATGCTGCTTTCAAGAGCTTGGATCAGCCCTATGCAGGTACAGACCTTCCTTCCTACCTCTGCTCTCCTCGCCAGGCGCTGTGCGTAGCCAGAGGAGCATTTCCCTCTTGTGTCTGTCTCACCGTTGTGACTTGGATCCTTGGACCATTGTGCCGGGGAGGATGGGGAAGCAAAGTGCTTTCTTGTAGTTAGCCGGGCAGTAGGAACTGAGGGGTGGGCAGGAAGCCAAGGTGTCGGGACAGGGCTGAACAAGCAGCCATAAGGGGCCAAGGAACCTCGAAGCTCAGGGAGTCCAGCTCTAGCGAGCCCAGAGGAGGCTGGGATCTCAGAATGATGCGAGATGCACTGGCCACTTGTGACTGGTGGGAAACTGAATCTGGAAATTGTTACTGAGGCAGGGCCCGGTGCTGGTGAATTGCACCCTGGAGACCTTTCAGCCTCCCCATGGCTTACAGCCCCACACTCCAGAGCCAAGACTTCACCTGTCACCTGTGCCTGCACCCACCATTTGCCAGATGTCTCCCCCACCCAAGGCGAGTGGTTCTGGACAGTGAGGCTAGCTCATTTCCTGAAAGAAAACTCAGGTGTGACAGCTGCCCTGGGTCACGGCCGGGTCCAAAGGGCAAAGCCAGGCGAGCACCAAGTCGCAGGGAGCGAAAGTGAACAGTGAGTCTTGATTCAACGACGCTGAACTGACCCACTCTGTAAGAGTGGGGGGAAGGGTTCCTAGCTCAGCGCCTGCCGGTGCAAAAGTGGCACCTGTTCTTTTCCCTTTAGCAGACTGGCATCTCTCCTCATAATTACCAGCCCTCTCGCTGCACAAGGGAGAGGGCTGGCTCCCTCTCAGCTGGGCGATGATCGGGAGAAATTCAAATGTGCCCAGCTGATTAGCAGAGCTCCCAGAGCTATGTTTGTGTTTCTAGTGGTGGTGCACATTTGCACATGCCTCGGAGCAGATAAAAACATTTATTCCGCACATGGATGGAAAAGATGTGGCAGGGTTTCCCAACCTATGGTTCGGGACCCAAATAGGGGTCACCGTTACATTTCAAAAGGGTCACCAAGTGTCTCCCCAGGTGGCTCTTAAGGAGCCATTCACACATTTTTTTAACTGCCCTGGGTCACCAAGTCTTCCTGAATTGTCAGAATGGGTAGGTCCCATCTGGCAAAGGTTGGGAACCGCTGAGCTGATCTTTTCCTTGTTGGCCCTACGGCTGGAGCTGCCTGACTAGCTATCCTGGAGCCTTGATGTTGTTTACGAAATGGTCCAGGGAAACCTATGGAGGAGTCTTCCATTGTATTCATTGAAAGCTTCCATGCATGCAACCCCCTCTGGAATTCCTGGACCTGTTTTAACAGCCTGCAGTGAGTGGACGATGCTCCTGAATGGCGTAACCTGGAGTGCCCAGACCAATGACACTTGTGGCAGCTTTGTGAACTTTGCAGAAGGGGCTGTCAGGGTGGGAAAGGGGGTGATCCAAAGGGCCACGAGGAGTCATTGGGATCATTGTCAGGAAGTTCTGTGCCCACTGCTGCCTCATGTTGTGGGCTAATTTGGCCACAACTGCTCTTCCCTGGTGCCACAAAGCCCTGCAGCAGAGCAGCCCAAGGTGAGGACTGGGGCAGCTGCACAGCTCATGTCCGGGGAGAAGTAGCAGCATCCCCAGCAGTGCAGTGCTGCCCTCCCCTGCGGAGTCATTGGGATCATTGTCAGGAAGTTCTGTGCCCACTGCTGCCTCATGTTGTGGGCTAATTTGGCCACAACTGCTCTTCCCTGGTGCCACAAAGCCCTGCAGCAGAGCAGCCCAAGGTGAGGACTGGGGCAGCTGCACAGCTCATGTCCGGGGAGAAGTAGCAGCATCCCCAGCAGTGCAGTGCTGCCCTCCCCTGCTACCTCGAGGCAGGGGAGATGAGAGGCAGGCAAAGGCCTTTCCCCCAGTGGAACGGGTCAGGAGCAAGAAAAAAGGAAAGAGAAATCTCTTGGGGACCCTTTTCCCTTCTGGCTTCTGCTGAGTCCAGGTCTCAAGTGGTGCCTAAGAACTCTCCTCTCTCAGCTGCCCTTGGGTTCAGAGCTCCCCCTTCACCTTGCACCGGGGGCAAAGAACACACCGTCCCATCCCAGAAGCTTTGCTGGCAGCTGGCTGGCAGAGATGGTGGAAAATGACGAGCCTGTGTTTTCGGCCAAGGCCCCAACAGGTGTTGGCTTTTTCAGCAGCGAGGGCCAGGGGAGAGCCTGTGCAGAAGTCTTTCTGGCCTGGCTGACCATAGACTCCATGCAGGCTGGGCACAGGCAAGAGGCCACGGGAGAGCCATCGGCTCCGTGCTGGGACCGCCTGCCTCCATTCCCCCGGGAAACAAAGCTCTGGAAAGGGAAGGACGAGTCTGTGTGCCAGGCCTCCCACAGGGCTTCCCAGGGGTGATCACAAGTGGCTCTGCGGCCATGCAAGTTGCAAAGGTGGGATTCTAGACTCATGCTGAAATGTCCTGCTGAGTAACAGGAACACGTATCCGGTACACAGCGCGGCCATCGCTGCTGAGAGACAGTGTAACCCACACCACCTGGAGAGGGAGTAATGAGCCTGCCCTACGGCCTTCGCTACCAGCCAGCTGACTTTTAGTACCGGTCGTAGGGGCTCATGAACTAAGCTCCAGAGACTCCAGGTTCAGTTCTGCCAGCGATATAAAAGCAGAGGGTCTGTCTGCGCAAGTTATGGGGACCGAGCCACCTCTGGCCCCTGCCACAGGCTGGCTGGCCAGGAGTGAGGGTCCCTGGCAGTAGGTGGGGAAGCCTGCCCCCTGGGGTGTGCATGAAAAAAGGGAAGGCTACAATTTTCATTATGTTCAAGTCACTTTTCCCTAATGTTCTCGTCTGGAGTGAGGGGGGAGTGACTCCCAGTGTGGGCACCAGAAACAATCAGTCCCGTTGTTGCTCTGTAAGCCCAGCCCTCTGCAGAGCCCTGAACCTGCCTCCTTTTGTCCCTTGCAGAGCTGCACCGCAGCGAGAGCACCCAAGAGAAGAATGTGAAAGAAGCCAAAACCAAGTGCCGGACAATTGCGTCCCTGCTGACGGACGCGCCGAACCCTCACTCCAAGGGCGTGCTGATGTTCAAGAAGCGCAGGCAGAGGGCTAAGAAGTACACCTTGGTCAGCTTTGGGAGCGTTGATGAGGACCGCTGTTATGAGGAGGAGGATGGTGTCTTCCCAACCAGTGAGTCGGAGTTTGATGAGGAAGGCTTCTCAGATGCCCGAAGCTTAACAAACCACTCGGACTGGGACAACACGTACCTGGACATTGAAAAGCCCAAGCCAGAATCTGAGCAGCAGGAGGGGCAGCGGCGGCAGGGTCTGAGTGAGGCCTCTGGCAGGGGCGCCCGGCTATTTGAACAGCAGAGGGAGAGGGCAGGTCAGTATACAGTGGAGAAAGCCCCAGCTGGGAAGCCAGAGAGCCCTCCCGCATCAGCAGGGGTCAGGCCAAAGCAGAGCATGGTGAACGGAGATGTGCCCACTCCGCAGAAGGCCAACACGGCCCCTCTCAGTATCCACATGGAAGCAGTGCAGGTTCCCAGCAAGCTGCCATCTTTTACCTCTGCCCACTTCCAGGCTCCAGTGGGCAGCACTGGAGGAGGTGCCCAGCCATCCTCTGGCACAGACAGTTTCTTCAACAGATCCGCACGGCCCTTCACGCCTGGCTTTTCCGGGCAGCGCCCTGTGACTTCCTCTGTCATCTTCAGGCCTTTAGCTCCCAAGAAGAGTGTGGGGGGGCATAGCCCTGTTGCCCCCCCTTTCTCACCAGGAACCCCTGTGCCACCTCCTGCTGTGCCTGCAATGGCACATGGTGGTCCAGCAAGCGCCTCAGCGCCTCTGTATATTCCAACAGCACCAGGGGGACTGCAGCCCGCCTCTGGCGAACGTGCTTCTGAGACTAAGACACCCACCAACCCAGCCAGGACTTCCAAGGCTTCCATAGTTCTAGCCACTCCCTCTAAAGCAGGGGGGGCCGCAGTTGCAGCCACACCTCAGCCACCACGGGGGACAGCTTCTTCCTCCTTGTATATCAGCCCAGCCCCACCCCAACCCAGCACGGCGAGTAGCTCTCTGCTACCCAGCCAGCCATATCCTGTGGTTTCCCCAGCTACTCCACGACCTGCTTCTGAGACCTTAGCATCCAGGGAGCAACGCATTGCGGTGCCAGCCCCCCGCACGGGCATCTTGCAGGAGGCGCGCCGGCGAAGCACCAAGAAGCCCATGTTCAGTCCTAGAGAAGAGAAGAAGAAGAATTCGCCCAACCCCGAGCTTCTGTCTCTGGTGCAAAACCTGGATGAGAAACCCAAAGGCGACCACCCAGGGGCGGGCTTCGAGTCGGGGCCTGAGGAGGATTTCCTCAGCCTAGGAGCCGAGGCCTGCAACTTCATGCAGCCCTCAGGCCGCAAATTCAAAGCCCCCCCCCCAGTCGCCCCTAAGCCTCAGCAGCCAGGTGCCTCTGCCAGACTAGTCAACGGTGCCCATGACATGCCACAGCTGAAGGGTAAAGGGGCAGAGCTTTTTGCCAAGCGACAGAGCCGCATGGACAAGTTTGTGGTGGAGGCGGCTCCAACACCGGGCTCCAAGCCCAGGGCACCCTCTCCCACCCCTTCTCTCCCACCATCCTGGAAGTACTCCCCCAACATCCGCGCCCCACCCCCGATAGCTTACAACCCCTTGCATTCCCCCTTCTACCCCTTGGCAGCAAGCAAGTCTCAGGCTAGCAAAGCAGAGAGCAAAGTGAAGAAGGCAGCCAGCCAGAAATCGGGGATCAAGGCCATTGATTTCATGCGTCACCAGCCCTACCAGCTAAAGTCAGCCATGTTCTGTTTTGGGGAGCCCCCGAGCACTGACACACAGAGCCCTCCAACCCAGCCAGCCCAGCAGCCCAGCTCCTCTTCCACCCCAGCCAAGCAGGCGCCTGTGAAAACAGCCAGGACCTATGAGATCCGGCGGTTCTCCACCCCTGCTCCCATGCCCACTCTGAACAGCCTGGCACCCACTGTCCTCGCCCCTCGATCCGCCACCACGCTGGATGAGCCAGTATGGAGGACAGATGTGACCTCTGCACCCACCACCCCGGCCCCTTTCCAGGCTGGTCCCAGCCAGGCCCCACAGCTGAACCAAAGCTCTCCAGAGCTCGGTCAGGCGAGCCACGCGACTCTCCCACGCCCAGCCTCCTCCTCTGGCTTCCAGGTAGCTAGACCCAGGTTTTCAGCTGCCAAAACTGGAATGCAGGCCCATGTGTGGAGGCCGGGCTCCGGGTACCAGTGACCCAGGAACTGCCTCCCTCTCCCCCACATGGGCATGTCTGGTGTCTGACCAAGCTAGTTTCTGTGGCTGTTCTTTAATGCAAGCTCAATAAATTGGGACATGAAGCAAAAAGTGGGGGGGGCTCCCATTCCACCCTCACAACTCCCTTTGTTATCAGCCTGGCAGCATCCCTGGGAGCCTCCCACTGCGAGCAGAGAGAAGGCAACAATCTCCAGCCTGCCTTGGCCCCTGCTGCACGGCCGTGAACCCGGGTCTCTGGGCCACAGGCAGGGAGGGGCAGAGCGTTAGCCCTTTCAGTGCCCCAGTGCGGCAGGGCTGCTGTGGGCAGCAGGGCACCGTGCACACGGAGGGCGAGGACACAACTGGGCCCTCTAGTCCCCCCAACCCCATGAAGTGAGAAACGAGGCCCCCGCCGGAGGGACAGTGTTGCAAGGCCCATAGTGGAGCAGCAGGTGCTCCAGGGGAAAGGGCCATGGTGCCTGCTCGGACACACAGTCCCCTCTTGAGGATGGCTCTGGATCACCCGGGGAGGGGCAGTTTGGGGGCTGAAAGGTCATTGTGGAGGATTGTGAGCGGGAAGGAGGGGTTCCTGGGAAGCTAGAAGAGCAAAGCTACTGCCTGGTGAGGTTAGGGGGCCCTTGCAGCAGCAGACGCTGTATGTGGGAGGTGGTTGCATGGGAGTGTGCAGGGCCGGCAGGGTTGTGGCTGGCGTGGAGGTGATGAGCAATATGAAGTTCCCTGAGAACTCTGTCCACCTGGGAGGGCTGGAAGCAGTGAGGGGCAGTGCATGAGGATGCGCATTAACCAGGGAGGGGTCTGTGGGGTCTGGCAATGGCAGAAGTGCCTAAGCCCCTGGGAAGCAGTGGCCAGTCACTCACACAGCTCTCTCTGCCACGGGAGGCTAGTCACTCCCTTCCTGGCTGGGCGTAAGGCAGCTGCGCTTCCCTGCAGCAAGGGCATGCGCCCCCCACACGCTGCTGAAGCTGCAGCGAGGCTGGTGGAAGCTCTCCCCCCTCTCTGCCCATGGCTGGGCTCTGTGGTGCCAGGGTAACACCTGGGCCCATTTCTCAGGCACAGAGCTTGCAGGGCACATGCCACGGGGGGCTTGAAGGCAGAAGCCACAGACTGGAAGGAATGGCAGCCACCCCAAGGGCTGAGGGGAGCTCCGCAAAGGGCCGATTGTTAACGAGTGGGGCCTGGCTGGGAGGGAGCAGCCATGCTGCAAAGCCCTGGCCGTGTGG